AGGCGGGCCGGCTTCACCGGCTCGATGTAGTCGATGGTCATGGTGACGTGCAGCGTGTCCCCGGGAAACGGGTGAGAGGGTAGGCAAGAGTAGGGAATGAGGGTGCCCCCCAGGCTCGAGACTAAAGGCAGGCGTATCCGGAGTGGACACGACGGGGCGCCTGCTGATGAATGAGCTGACTTCCACGAAAGCCTCCCTTGTCTCCTGTTTTCCGTGGTGACGCTTGGTTTGCTATCCTCGACTCTTCCTTTCAGAATACGCAAACATGGCCACCAACCAGATGTGTACAACACGTCATGATATCGCCGACGGCGCGTGCGTATTGGCCAATGAAGACGCTTCCCGCTCTCGGCGGGACTGTTGCTGCGGGAACCAAGAAAAAAACAGACAAGACAGCCTGCAGGGACTACAACACGGGCACACAGACACAGACACCGACCACAGCGGTTCAGGAGGCTTGGCTTCGGCAACCACTCGGCCCGTGCGTCCTGCTTCGTTACGTTCCCTTTCTCCGCTACCTCGTGCGCGCTAAGCAGCTTCCAAGTGGTCAGCACTTCTTCGAGTCTTGTGCATGCTACGCACGGTACGCACTACAATCTCCCGAGCAATCGTTGGCTGCCCGACAGCTCACTCGAGCAGCATGTCTACAGCAGCGTACGACCCGGCTGCCGCCGAAGCGCTGCGCGACATAGAAGAGGCCCACACAGCCGCTTGTAAGGCCGGCGTCGCGCATTACGAAGACCCCGCCACGGGGTACAAGGTGTTCACCCAGGCTTCTCACGAAAAGCGGGGTTTCTGTTGCGGCAACGCCTGCAGGTAGGAATAGGGAAGAGATACAAAGGGAGTGGAGACAACCGCCAATTGCGTCAATATACTCGGAGGATCACATGGCGTGCTTGCACGTGTATGCGGCCAGTCGTGTGTGTCACTCTGAGCCGCCGTGCGTATTGTATCGGCGTCTTGCGAAAAGGGCTGTGGTGCTGTGGTTTCGGGCCCTTCAATCTTGATTGTCGGCCAACCAAACACAGATACAACGGCCCGGTGAAAACTCTCATGCGCTTTCGAAAATAGAAGGACGGCAAAATCCGTACAGCAGTTATCATACAATCACTGCAAGACTACCCGTTCGCGATGATACCCCAGGCGAAGAGACATGTTGTAGTATTTGCGGTGAGTGGGGAGTAAGGACCCCGCTGGATGCTGGGTTTACCGCCAGAGGCTATACAAGCCGAAATCAAACCATTAGACTAGTCAGCGCTGACTAGTCTAATGGTTTGATTTCGGCGTCTACAAAAGTCAGTCGTGGGGTTCGTGAGCCCCGTCACCTTCACTAGTCTAATGGTTTGATTTCGGCATCTATAACGCGGAGAGACGGCACCCCCTCCTCAGACCGATCTTCAGAGCTCCATTGCTCCACAACCAAGATTGTCTGTACCGTACCGTACACCGTACCGTGGTATTCCGCAAGAGTCGGAGAGATGGTACCCCCTCTAGACTGATTTTCAGAGCTCGATTGCTCCGCAACTAAGTTTGTTGTGCGAACACCAATATTAATGGTGGTTTTCGACTAGGGCTTTCCGTAGACGTATCGGGGTCTTTCCACACACCCTTGGTTGTGGAACAGTCGAGCTCTGAAAGTCGGTCTAGGGGAGGGTGCCATCTCTCCGACTCTAACGGAATACCACGGTACGATATACGGTATGGTGCAATCATGTTGTGGAGCAATCGAGCTCTGAAAGTCGGTCTAGACGGGGGGGGGAGGGGGGGCGTACTCTTATGTTTTTTATGCCTAGGCGTTTAGACCATTGACCACGCGTCCTCGAGAGGACGGAATATTGTTCCCACAGGACCGATCACCGATGGCCAATCGTTCCTTTATCGGTCTAGAGGGGGTGCCTCATTTCCGCCTGCCACGCCGTTTTGAGCCTATTGTATCATTACTGTAGACTATCGATACTGGCTGCTGTTCACAGGATGCGCCATGCATGCCGGCTCTGGTTGCATGTTCTGTCCTACTATCCATGATGACGTTCAAATGCTGCATAGGGGAAGGAGACGCACTATTCTCTCCTGCAGAGATAGGGCTCGTCCACTCCATGAACCTAACCGTTATCACTTCACCTGCTTGCTATCCGCGCAGGCACTGCCCGTTTGGACACTTGGAGGTAAACCCCGAGTGGCGGCCTGCTGGCAGCGTCCCCAAGGTGAGACAGGAGTCCACAGTCTTTGTATCCATGTTTCAATTTTTGGAAGAGGAAACAGTTAGATTTGTTGCTGGGTGACAAGAAACGACGGAAAACGGTCGACCGGTGATGTCATACGCAGGGTGATCGCGTCACTTTTTTACTCTTTTTTATCGCGTCTCTTTTTGGACAAATCCAAAGTTTCAGTCGCTCGCTGCGCATGTCTCAATTCCCCCCGGACTTATAGTCCACGGGAGTTTACACGACTTGAAGTTGGAACGCTGATCCTCTACACCCTGGGGTGGGCAAACTCCTCTGCATACCCAGTGCGTTGGGTTGGTACGTTCGAATTGCGGCGTAACTCGCGACGCCGTGTTCAGAGGGCGAAACGGGCAAGAGTGATCGCATCACATCCACCACCCAGATTTGCGACCGGCTGCATGAGGACGTAGTCCGCGGTGCCTGGCCCTGTTCCAATCTTCTCGTCAACTTCGTAAACGGTAGCATATGTGAACGAATGCACCGGAAGCAGACGAGGCGAACGGCCGTCGACGGGCCTACATACGCGTCAAACCACAAGGCGCGCCCGCCATTGTTGGCGCCAACAATGATGCCGCACCCTCCCCCCTCTCTCTTCTCATCACGCGATTTTGCCGCCGTCATCGTTCTCCTTTCTCTTCTTGGCCTGCCGTGTCGATTGATCGATCGATCAGGCGGGCCTGCGCGACAAGCCTTAAACGCGCCATTTTTCCACGCCAAAGATGAATCCGCGTTGCCCCCTCCCCGCCCCCCACCCGAGGTCAATGGTCTAACGACTGCGGCATGCACGACTATGAGTACACACCCCCCCGGTTATTTGCTGCTTTCGTCGTGCTTCTTTCTTTGCTTGCCTTTGGTGTCGTTCGGTTTATCGGCTGGAACTACGGGTCTAGCATACCTGTCCCCCCCCCCCCCCCCCC